TATTACGTCTTTGTTGTGAACAGACATGAGATATCAATTTTTTTCCATATTTGCTGGATACAAAAAAAGCAGGGGGGAAAAAAGTGGGTATCATCCTCATACTCGTTCAAGAGCCTCCAACATGATTATACTGTTTCCTCTAATCACCTGAAGACACACAAAATGAGCATTCATCATTGCACAGAATAAAACACATCACATCACATCACATCAAGCTGCTTGTTGATCTTTGAGTGATATACAATATCCACGATCAATTCAATATAACTATTACCTGAACTGTAATGTCTATTTATATGATACTTGTGCCAGCTAGTTTTGTTTCACCATCAGTTATGTCATTTGTTTGATACCAGATTGTGATATTAAGTACTGACCACCATCCCAATGGAGTTCATTTGTCCTCCAGGAGCCATTTCTATACTGTCATCTACGACCATGTTCATGAAGGGATCAAATCCTCGCAAGATGCCCTGAACATGACGGCCACCATTGAGCTTAACTGAAAGTGTGCATGAAAACAACATTCGGAACGGAGTTATCATGTGGGTTTATTAGAAGAACATATATTTAGATAAGGTTATTTATTTGCATTCAAGGTTACAATCACATACTGTTGAAATAAAATATATCTAGGATATTATGGAGATTTCCAGATTTCTCACGCTCTTCTTTTTCTGGATAATACTTGCATTTGCATTATACTCACGTGAAAGCTTCTTGTCCATAAACCTAAAAGGCAAGAACAAAACGGGTACTGTTTTACAGATACTGGACCAAACATTTAAACCGAATTCATATGAAAGTGTAACAAAAATGAAATAGCATGTGGGTTTTCTGCGTTAAATTTGAATAATATAATGTAGCTGTTAGTTGTGAAATAAATGCAGACAAACCGGCTAGCGCAGTAGAATAACGCAATGCTCAAATTAACGCATTTCTATCAGACTTACGATCACAACCAACAAAGGGCTTGAAATACTTACTTTTTCAGCTCGGGCGGGTGTGCT